AAGAGGAGGAAGAAGAACAGAGAAAGTGGGAGAAGGAGATTGACGAAGAGAATCCCGATTGATCACATCTGTTCAGAGAACGATTGATCCTGTGGTGTGGCCTGCTCTGGGATCTAAACACGCTGGCAGCCACACACATAAGCACAGATACAAACCTAAACCAGTAAACCAGGATGTGAGATTTTAGCAGACATTATTAATATTTAAGGGGAGCTTTACAGAGGACTGCACAAGCAAAAAAGAATATGAGCTCCTCTTTCAAAATGTTTACATTATTCCACCACTCTTGAATTAAGCCTGTGAATCAGACACCTGGCATATGGAGAGGCAGATAGATAAATCTCCATTGTGCTGTCCTGTCTCGCACATGCTCAGTCGGTCCCCGGAGTCCGCCAGGCAGACACGAACAAGACGAATCATTCCCAGGGGGGCATTTATTTCTGTTGCACAGCACAATCCCCTCATTGCTGGTCCTAACAATCTGCCTTTTGAGACTATAACATTGGAATAAGAGAGACAGCACGGCAGAAGAAGGGAACAGAGGAAAAAAGGAAGTTTGTGATAAAGGAGAAGACAAATGAAGACTTCTTGAATGCTTAACAAATTCTCCAACATGCAACACATAATCCAACTTTGATCATAAATATGACCCTTATGGATCAATTATTATAATTTCAACGCAAAGCAGGGCATTCGCATTCAGCTAGTTTGTCTGGATAAGTGAGCATGGTGACATCGTTGAGTGCCAGCTGTCCCCTCAGTCTTCTTCTGTTTTTCACTTTTGATGGAAAAACCTCCACCCTCTCCACCTCCTCCCTGGTCTCTTATTCCTCTCTCTGCAGCTGACTGCTCCTAAATCTCGGGTCTGGCCGGATCTAGACAGCTCTCTCTACCAGGTGACACAACATCCCACTTCCTTCCATCCATCCATCTCCACACGGCCCACACAGTCTATCCTTCCCATCATTTCTCTCCACGCTGGATTCATCTTGGACTGCCGGTCCGACTCCAAGCTCAGGCACAACATATCTCCCTGTCTTCCTCTTTATTCAACGCGGTTTCTCTCGCAAGCGTGTACACACACACACACTCATACACATATTTCAAGCTGACGTTCCTCTTCCATAATTGTCTTTTTCTTCCTTCCTCAGTCTCAGCCGTTTCTCTACTTTTCTCAATCTCTTTTTTCCCCTCCGTCAACAGAACGCTATCTGCGTGTTTGTGTAGCTTTTGTTGCGCAGCTCACTGCAATACAAAAGCCTTTGTTGGCCTGCCACCACTGTGATGTGGTGAGACGGAGATGCACAAGGACAAACTTGAGCTCCGTGGAGCCAGCTCACTGTTAACTCTGAGATAACGGCTCAACCTGAAGGCTGGAGTAGCTTACGGGGTGCGAGCCAGACACACATGTAAACACTTGTCTGCGCGGTCGAATGTGTTGATCTCTGTGGCTGTATGAATTCTGTGTATAAATCGTCCCATGTCGGTGTAATGCTTAGGGTTTCCATCAGTGAAATGGCTTGCATGTGTTCCTCGGTGGGAGTTATTGCTTGCTGCAGGGCAGTGGCAGCTGTTGTGAAGGGCTGAGCTAGCTAGGCTAATAATAACCCCGGAGCTGAGCGAGTGCCCACGGGCCCCTCATCGTCTAGGGTTGACCCCCGGAGTCCAGTTGCAATGGAGAGCGAGGATTAGGCCAGGTTGTGGATTAGAGAACGCCATTTCACCCTTGTAAGGACAAAGGCAGGTGTGCAAGAATGCTACACGCTCAGTGGTTAACAGCGAGGTCATAGCACACTGAACGCACCACCTTGGAACCTGTGGAAAACATGCACGTGAACCATGTGATAACCATGTGATTTTCCCCTAGACTACAAAGAAATTTGAATAGACACACAGGAGCAGTGAAACATTGGAACAGTATCAGCAAGTGTTTTTTTTTTTTACCTTGAATTTGAAGCTGCTGGGGTTTTTTTTTTTTCAAAGACAGAATTGCCTTAATCTCTTCAGCATACATCTTTAACAAAGAGCCTAGAGATGTTGCAAAATGGCTGAGTAACATGTAAGGTCAATAACATCACCCAGATGCCATCAGCCAGATCTTTCACAATAGACAAGGAATAAAAAAAAAAACAAAAAAAAAAAAAACAATTCAGAAATGCTCTCAACTGAAAATAATAATGTGACTTTATCTGCGATAGATAGTATCTGTTGTAGGGAAGTAGAGCATGATGTTATAACCTGTGTTCTATGACTGGAGGAAATATACTGAACGGGGAGCTATTTATTTCCTTGTGTATGCTAGGGTACCCATAGTCACAAAATGATCAATTGCTCATTATGACTAAGGGGAAAGGGTCAGAATATGATTATCAGGACAATTTCTGCTCTATGCTAAATTCATTTATTTTTTCTGTTTTTTTCATGTCAACAGGACGAGATATGGGAGAAATTCAAATAATGTCATGCATGGTCCTTCCGGGCCTGTAGGTCTGGACCAGTCACGCATTGATGCCTTTGATAGACCAAATAACCTCATTGGCTGCCTCCATTCCTGTTCATTTCACAGTTGACTCTATTACTTGCATGAGCAATTACAGCTTGGTGTTGTTATTTGGTATTGTTTGCCATTACTGTGTATGCGTACGTCACGTGTGGTTAGCTCTGTGCGTGTGTATGTGTGTGCAGCTCTAGATTCGAGACCATATACTCTGATGTTCCTTTCCGTCACCTTTCTTAATGAGCTTCAGTGGGTTCCTGAAGAGGTCGAAACGGATGCCATTTAACATTTAATGCTCATTAGCTCCTGTGATGTGACCTAATTGAGCCAAAGCAATCAGATTGCCCCAGCCCTCTAAGTGTGAAGATGTGAACTCTAGGAAATTTCTGTATATTATGGGCTGTGTGACACTGTATGCTAGCTTGAAGCGAAGGGCTGCGATGAACAGATGGGAGGTGCGAGTAAAATGTCTGTCGAGTCTTGTTCTGAAGAAAAATATTGGAAGCGCTCTATGAAAAAGAAAAAAAAGAAAAAAAAAGCTTGGCAAAAATGTTTGCCATGTTTCACTTGATCCTGTTTTGTAGTTGTCCTCTGTATCTCTAAGCTCTCCTTCCGTGACTGGCTAGCTGCTAGCCTGTGGCTCAGTAAAATTGGACAGGTGAAGCGGGACAGCGGGGCGTCACTGATACAGTTCGACAGAACCACAGGCTATTCAGAGTTCGATCCGTTCATCAAGTGAGAACAGAGGTGAAATTGTACCCCCTTTAAAAGCAGTTCATGCGCCTCCACTGTTGCTATATTTGTTTTGTTATGCAGCCTCAGTTATTAAGGTGAAAAGTGTTTTTTGTGTTGAAAGGGGACCACTCTGCACTCCTTTTCGTCTTTCACTGCACAGATCAAGCAGCAGGCAGAGAGCCGCTTGGCCGGGTTCAGTAGTGTGGAACACCTATTCAGTAACATTCTTTTCAAGATGTTCTGAGGTTGAAATATGAGCATTATGAACCTGTCTTCTGCTTGAGAATAGATTCCTCCGCAGGCCTGTAAAGTTGCTTTTGCTGGAGACATGACTTACAATAAGAGACGGTGCAAGTGTCCTTGTGAGTGTCAGAAATCAATTACACCATGTTTCCCCTGTGGGTCGCAGGATTGTATATGTATATGCGCAAGTGTGTGTCCTTGTGTGAGTGTGTATGTGTGTGTGTGTGTGTACATGTACGTGTATGTGTGTTTGTGTGTGTGTGTGTGTGTGTGTGTGGGGGGGGGGGGGTTGTGTACTGTCGCTAAACTTCCATTGTGTCTGGGAAGAAGTTTCCACTGTGCCTTTAATGCAGTAGAGGATGACAGGATAAAGGGAGAGAGCACCTTCAGTTGCACAGCGTGAGAACACAAACTTGGTTAAAGATGCCGACTGAGTTACTGGCTGGTCTTGATAAACAAAGAGCGCACATATGATGTCATACACAAACACTCAACCAATAAGCCTGCATACACACCAAGTGTTTGCTAAGATCACTGTGGGGTTTGTGAGTTCAAAGGATGGTACCCAAACGTGTGCGCATACCAGTGTGTGTTTGTCTAGAGGAATGCTGTCGGCCGTCATTCCTATGCGTCTTGCATTGCGTGTTTAGACAGGCTCTGTCTCCAGCTGGGTTTGTGACAGAATGGGTACAGTGTTACAATACAATACAAAACATCACTGCAGTTGTGAATAGAGGCAGTTGTAGAGCAGGACAAAACACAGTGCAACAGGACGTTATGATCTGACACGGGAAAGACAGACCTGCATAACTAAAATCACTCTTTTTTTCTACCTCTCAGAACTGCATTAGCGCCTTTTTAATTCAAAGCTCTGCAGTGTAGAGATAACAGTTTTCATTTGTTTACTGTTTCAGCACAGGAAAATGAAGTACTTAATATTTATATTCCAAAATATCATATCTATCTAAGTGACCCTGTCTTTATAGTAGTACTCATACCCTGCATACTTACTGTAAAGGGTGGCTGTAAAAAAACAAAACAAAAAATGCTGCAGGAGTGGTTGGAGAAGTTTCTATGGACCTGTTGACACTTTTTCTGCCTTGAAATCTTGTCACCATGCAGAGGAATCTACTGATGCTGACATAAATTTAAGCTGGCCGCAGCTGCTATTCTCTGAGAAGGAGCAAGTAGCAAACTTTTTACAGTCAACATTCAAGTCTTCAGGGGATGAGCGTTTGATAGTCAAAAGATAAATTCTGGGTGAAGTTTTACTCTAAAATCAATATGTTTTCATACATTTTGAAAGAGTGTGTGATGCATAACTCTGTTTGAAATATACATCACTATGCATCATGGATTCCTTATCGGCTAGCTAAATAAAAGTAATAAAAAAATAACAATAAAAGGATAATATATCATAACATACTGGCATATTTTAATGAGGAAAATTTGTTCTGTCAAACTTATATTGGTATTAAGTTATAGTAATAAATATAGTCAGACAGAAAATACTTCAAGACTTGTGAATTTAATAAGAATTTAAAAAGGATGCTAAAGAGCCGGGGGGAGGTAGACAGGTAGGAGCAGTGGGTTGGAGCTCATGGAGTGGAGCAAAACCGAGCAGAGGACGTAGTGCTGGGTTCAGAAAGAAAGAGAGAACAAGTGGAGTCGGGTTGAGATTAGGGGAAAGCAAGGATAAAAAAGGGATAAGATAAGGGTTTCATGTAGAGGTGATGGTCGGGGGGGGCAGATAAAAAAGAGTGGAAAAGAAGTAAAGTCAAGAGTCTGTGTAACGTCAAAGGTGACAGCCCTCCTCAGCTGATCATGCAGGACTCGTAGGTGGGCACCATGTATTTGATATTTATGAAGGCGTCCTCTCCTCCGTAGCGCTCAAACACCTCCAGAGTCTCCTGGATCAGGTCACCGATGTTCTCTCTCTTCTGCTGGCTGTAGTCGATTCCATCTCCAGAGTTGACTAGGGACACGGAATCAGAGAGAGAGAAAGATAGAATAATAAGAAAAGAAAAAAGAAAAAAGAAAAAAAAACAAAACAAAGATAAGTTATATTACAGCCCAGTCTGGGTCATCACAGACTGTGAGGTTGATGTCAGGGCTCACAAAGCACCACCTGTGGCCACGCTGCATTGCTTTGCTGCAGACTGACTTGGCAAATGCCATCCTTCCATCTGAGTTCAAACCCAATGGACAGACTGAATTTAATTTACCCCTCTTATGCTGGGGCCAGTTGGGACCGAACAGCAGAAGAGTTTTTAACTGTTCAGCTGAAAGTTTAATGAGGCAGCCTGCAGAGTGGAGAGCAGAGTAAAGGACAGATGAGTCAGTGACGGCTCTGCTGTTGCAAAACCCTGCATTGGTGCACACGAGGCATGAGCAGTGACCTGGAGTCACGCTCCACAGGAGGGAATGTGTGTGTGCTTGTTTGTTTGTTTGAGTGTGTGAATTTTCTACTAGTATAAAAAATATGGGACAAAAACCATACCACTATCAAAATGTCAATTTTGATTTGCTGTGAGTATGTTTTTGCATTTTCCAGGTGTTTGTGTTTGTGTGTGACCAATGGCAAATGAAAAATAATTCACTTGTGGCCAATAACAATACAGCAACAATCCTGCAGAACCACCCCTCCCCAGAGGACACATACAAACACACACAGACAGTGCAGTAAAACACACAAAATTGTACAACAGAGCTCGAGCGTGCTGGGGGAACTTGTTATCGAAAAAAGATTCCTGAGGTGTCCAGCCTTCACTCCCCCCTTCTTCCTCCCTTTAACCAGCAGGCACACTTAAACACACACACACACAGACACACACGCACACACACACGGATCGTGATTTTATCAGCACACAGCAAACTGCCAATCTCATGCCAATGCACTTGGGGCTCAAAACACTTTTCAGAGGGAGGTAAATATAGAGAGGAATTGAGCACGCGCACACAGGTGTCTACATTTATTTGCAAAAAAAAGTCCCGTTCAACTCGAAAATCCTGGAGAGAAACAAACCACAAAATGAATCATTTGACAAGAAGAGAAGAGAAGAGAAGAGAAGAGAAGAGAAGAGAAGAGTATTGTCAAGTGTACCTGTGATGTGAAAAATTAACAGCAGCACTTTAAGGAGGACCCCTCAGCCTCATCTCTCACTCCTGATTACACCAGAAAAGAGAAAGGGACATAAAACTTATCTCTCACTTCTTCTAACACTCAATCCTTTATACTTTCTCAATCTTTTCTAATCTCTCATCTTCCCTGACAGACTCAAGCTTCCCCCTTCTCTCTCTTTCTCTCTCTCCTCGCCTTTCCACCCATCCATGGCCTCCTCATTAAAACACAAAGAGAGCCAGTCCCATAAAGCGGGCTGTTAAGCAGTAACACGTCTATGATCTCAGTCTGCTGCACTCGCTCCATCGTCAAGATCCGCTCTCCTGTTTTACATGAAAGCGACGGGGGAGAATTCTCCAGCCGTGGTTTGACCGTTGGTTAGCCTCTGCGCAGTGCAACTTTAACAGCGTTGGCTTTATTTAGCAGCTATTTACTGTTTTCCTTTTGGAGAACCAACAGCAATAGCTTTAAAGAATGCAGCCTTTAAGAAAAGAAAAGCTCTTGTTCATATCTAAGCTCAGGCTGCTTATTCTTGAGCTACCCACAACACAGGCATCTGCACCCTACTAGTTAGCGAAAACCTAAATAGCATCTAAAATGCATCCATCTGTGCACTAAAAGAAAAACGGCAAAGCAATCAGGGAGAAATGAGGACAACAGTCTGCTGTGATGTGTGTACGCTGGGAGAGTGGTGAAAAGTAAGGAATAAAGTGACAGGAGTCAGCCGGGTCACTCTTACAATCTGTTTCAGCTGAGTGTGTGCGCGTGTGTGTGTTTGTGTGCATGCATGTTGGTGTAGGTTAAAAAGGCAAGCCCTCGGAGAGCCACCCCTTGTTAGTAGAAATGAGCAGCCAAAGCCAGCCCAGAGGGAGAGCTTGGCCTTCAGGCAAAGAGCACGGGGAGCCGGAGAAGAGGTGCGGCTTGGGAACCAACAAAGCTCAGACCCGTTTACTGGGGCCTGGAGGGGGGAGCGAGGAGGTCCTGCAAGGGGGGGAATTGTTGCTGCTCAGCCCTTTCCAAGTGCATTTCCATCGCTGAGCTGTGGGGAGGACAGTAGCATCGAAAAGGAAGAGGGCAGAGGAATTTGCAATGATTCTCAATATTTCAAAAGCAGAAAAGGGAGAAGTGTGTTTAAGGAGGGATGGAGGGAAAAGGAAGGGGGGGGTGTTAAAAGCTGCCTCTGCAAATGTCCTTCAGCAAAATAACTTTCTTTCTCGCTCTTCCTCTCTCCCCTCCCTGTCTTTTTTTTTCTCTCTCTGCTTTCGGCAATATCTGCAACCCTGGGCAGAGAGAGAGAGAGACAGAGAGAGAGAGTAAAAAAAAAAAAATCTTTAAAAACAATCATAATAAAAACGTCCGCCCTGTGAACAGAAGGAAAAGGGCCCTAGCAGGAGCTAGCTGTCTGTTCCTCTGAGGAAGAGGAAGGGTCGATACAGATAGAGACAGGGGAGGATTCTCAGCACAGCGACATTTACTACACAGAAGGTGGAGGAAGAAAAGGAAGGTGGCACCGAAAAGGTGCTTTGTTTCTGCCTTTCATGCTAAATCCCTGGGATTGGAGGGGTGTTTAGCTCATAGACAGGGGAGGCGAGGAGAAAAGAGGTAGATCAATCTATCTATCTATCTATCTATCTATCTATCTATCTATCTATCTATCTATCTATCTATCTATCTATCTATCTATCTTATTCTTTCATTAAGGCAACCTGGGCTGTGCCTCTCTTGGGCTCTGCTGTGTTTTCTGGCAAACCACAAACTACACACAACAACAGCTGCAGCCTTCCTCCTCCTCCTCCTCCTCCTCCTCCTCCACCCTGCTCTTTCTCCATCCCTCATTCCCCACGGTCCTAAACAACCTGTCTTCCCACATCAAGCTGAAGACAAGCAGTCACAGATGCAGGAAGTGCTCGGCGTTTCCTCCAAACTAATTTTATTTATCAGATCTCCTTACTGTTTTTTTTTTCTCTAAACCTCAAACAAAGCTGTGCTGTTACCCCATCGTAAGACTTCTGACCGAGGTTAGCACGCATTATGTGTATGTTGTATGGTTATAATCTCTCCTCCTGCCAGGAACCGGGTGACACACACACTGCAGCAGCTTAAGGAAGTTTAGCTGAAAATTCCAGAGCTGATTAACATAATATCAACCCACCTGCCATTGTTTCTAATCAACTTACCCCTGATTGTGGAGGTTCCTTATGAAAGCGGCTTAGAGAGGGAGGTCCCCCTCCCAAACACAACAGCTCTTTGATCATAGCAACCACATGCAGAAGAGAATCAATGAATGAGGGAGACATGTTTTTCTTTCTTTCTTTTTTTTCATAGAGGTTTGGCCTTGCTCGAAAAGGGAAATGGAGGAATGTAGGTTATGAGTGCGATGGAACAGCTTGAGTTCCAGGAATACTTTGTGGTGAAGTTGACCGTGGCTGCACAGCTGAGGGTGTTATATGAGTGCATGTGTTGTCATTGTGTCCTATTACCGATTCACACACTGAGAGATCCTTCATTCCCAACCCATTTGTTCAAGACTTCAAGACTAAGGAATACACATTGTCTTTTACATCAATATACTCTTTTTACATACAGGTGTACACTAACTTTTCCTGATGCAAAAACTCTCTATTTTCCATTGGGAATAAATTAGGTTATATATTGAATTGTTAATACTATTAATCTTAATCATAAAAGTCTAACTAGTTCCCTTTTCTTCTGCGTCTGTAAAGAGAACCATGGTTTACAAATGTTTCCCTCAAGCTTAAATTTACTTAATTCATATGATTCCATTTTAAAAAAGGCTTTAACAAAATATTATACTCTCTAATATCCCGATGACATTTGGTAGATAAATATACCAAAACTACAATGTCTTGCTTAGACTTTTTGTGAATTTCACACAGAATTCAAGCAACCACTGCAAAGGTCTTTTATAAATATATGGCCAAACTCAAATATGCATTTTTTTTCTTTATAACTGGTTGAAGTTTTTAAAAAATAAAACCAAACTGAAGATGGAGACTAAAATCTGATAATAAACTGATTCTTGACATGAATTCTGAAGGTGTGGTATGAATTCCAATTTGAGCTACAGTATATACAATCTCTATGTATGTGGATACTATGTGTGAACCAGGGCATATGGACAGGGAGAGGAAGAGAAGCATAGTGGTGGTGTGTCTGTGTGTGTGTGTGCGTGTGCGTGTGTGCGCATGTGCGCATGTGTGTGTGTGTGTCATAGAGGTAGTGTAGGTGTGAGGAGGTGGTGGGGAGTGGATGAGACCACTGGAGGAGGCCTGTGCTTAACAGCAGGGCTCTAATTAAAAGGGCCTCACAGTTGGGTGCAGACAGGCCTCTCATAAAGAGACTCACACTCTGGCACAGAGGTGGCTATCTCCAGGTGTGTGTGTGTGTGTGTGTGTGTGGGTGTGTGTGTGTGTGTGTGTGTGTGTGTGCGCGCGCGTGTGTCTGTGTGCGCGTGTTTGTACATGTGCGTACCTAACCACAGGTGTCTGTAAAGGGAAGAAAGGAAGACAGAAAGTATCCTAACAGCCGAACAGTGTGTGTGTTGGGGTTTGTGTGTGTGTGTGTGTGTGTGTGTGTGTGTGTGTGTGTGTGTGTGTGTGTGTGTGTGTGTAGACTTAATTACTCCATGTATTTTTGTGTGTATACTGCATATGTGTAAACACACAAACACATAGATGTGGAGATTTGCACACATGTGGAGAGAGAATGTGTGTGCTTGTGAGTAATTACATGTGACAAGGACAGAGAGGGTTAGAGAGTGAGTGGAACAAGAGAGAGAGGGAGAGACGCACGAGGACTTAGTGCAGAGGAAAAAGTATTTTGATCCTTCATTT